AAAGCCCTACAGAGAACAGCAGTGCCAGGCTTATTCATAACTACAATGCTTGATATTTTCCCAGGCATCTTTCTTGAACAGTTTTAGCCAATCTCCTGTGACGGCACTTGTCACTCACCAGTACCAGAAAGCAGGTGTAAACAGAAAGTCACAAACAAATGTGTGTAGCACAAAAATACTGATCTCTATTTTTATAAAGAAGTAATCAACAGTTAAGGAATAAAAAATGCCAAATGATGGCAGTCCTCTTCAACATAGGCTCCGAGTCAGAGACCTGGCCATCTAGCTTCCTCACTTGCTCTACGATCTTAGGACAATGTTTAACACCTTTGAGCCTCAGTTTCCTCATCTTCCTCATCTTTAATATGGAGACAGTAACAGCACCTATTCTACAGGATGGTAGTAAGGATTAAATTATATAAGTAAAGCAGTTACTATAGCACCTGCTACATAATAAGTTATGAAAATGTTATAATGCCATTTATAACAATAACTATTATTATTACCACCATTTCCAGTTATAGTTAGAAAGTGCTTTTCAAAAGTGATCACTTTGAGTTTAACTTGTATGCCATCTGATCTGGAAGTGTAATAAAGGTATACAAGTCCTACCGATTTAGTGAGTCAAACAAAAAACTGAAACAAATTGAATCATTCAACTGGTGTATTTAGAATTGCTGATGATTATAGCATTCAAGAAAGTTAGTGAAATACATAAATTGCAACTGAGCTGCTCTTGAAAATCCCCCAAATCATTTCTCTTTTGTCTAGCCTAATGTTGAGTAAAGATGGTTCATTTTAAACATATACTTAGAGCCTTCTAACAAGGAAACATTGTGGAATATGAACATGGAAGAGATAAAAGGTGAAAACAAAGAGGGTATGCCCAAATCGTTCATGTTCCATCTCTGAATATAAAAAAGAATGCATTGCATTCACATACCACTTTATGCTTTTCATGGAATTATAACCACATTGACACTATTTCTTTACACACACACACACAGAAGGGTGGCCATGATGAACACATTCAGCCTCTTTGTACGCCAGCACTGATTCTCTTCTAAGTCAGAAATTCTACCTGAGACCAGGGTATAGATGGAGGAGAAGGTTATGGGGCCACTGCAAAAACTTCATTCAAAGGATAATCTGATTGGCAACATTTGAGAAAGGCTGGTATATGCATTTCTTTTATCATCTAATTAAAAAAACTCCACAACACTACTTGGACAAAACCACCAGTATTAAAGGTCCTAATGTAGCATAATTTGTGTTGAGTGCGTTGCATTCTGACAGTGCTATAAACCAGGAAGACAGTTTACTGACAATTCTGTGCTACCAGATACCAGCTCAGGCCTCTGCCCAGCTTTATGTTGTCAACTCTTATGGAAACATGAGCAGCTACACAGCCTCACAGGACGCTGAAGTTTGGATTGCAAAAGATGAGATGGACAGATTTTATATTTTCACTGCAGATTTATTTATTTTTTTGCCTTTCTAAACTGCTGAGCATATTTTTTTTTTCAGGCAGGAAATGCAACTAGTGTTTGTTTCTACCATGGCTTCTGTTTTGAGATTTCTTCTTTGTAGAAGAAATGTGTTGCCCAGCTGTCTAGAATTCCAATCAGGATATAGTTTCAGTATGAAATACATTGCAAAAGTAATTTTAGCTGGTTATAAACAGGAATGAAAATAAGGCCGGGCTATTTTGTCTAATTTTTACCCACAGAGAGGGCACTCTGGGTTAGTCTAATGGGGCCAATATGAGTAACTGAGGTGAAATTTTGTTCTGTTTCTTTGCCCAGGAAGGAGAGTAATTGTGAAAGGCAAAGATTCCCATTGGTGAGCAAACAGAGTTGTGGAGATTGTCAGTTATAAAGATTCTCAGAAATGAGTCATGTGGCTACTGGTCAAAAGTACTTCAGTCAACACTTAACGGTGGTTCAACCCAAGCTGAACTACTGGAGAGTTTAATGATTCTCAGTAATACCATGTCTATGTGCAACACACACACATATTAGTCAATAAATACTAATTAAGAATCCCCTCTATGGAGACTCAGGGTTACTACAGGTTAATCGAGGAAGATTCAAGAATGATTCAGGTCTTACCTTACTAGGTGGATAGAGTTCTGTTAAGAGGCAGATCTTTCCATCAGTAGCCTATCTTTTCATTCCAAGACTTTAAGATTTTAATATTTGTAAAATATATTCACTAAGTACATGTCATAATATTCTCTCCAAAAGATGCCATTGTATCTCTGGTTCTTGTAAGAAATAGAATTTTAGAAGTTACATGAGTATGTACTATAGTAAATTCAATTACCCAGAGAAAGAGGAAACCAGGAGGGAATTATTTATAATCTGGACCTTGAAGAATAAGGTGAAATCTACCAGGCAAGACACTTGTTTATGTGGGGCGGGAAAGAAACCATGACGATATGGAAAGTAGAGGGAAGAGCGTGTGCAAAGACATTAAGTGTACAACAGCATGAAATATGGGAGTACAGATGGAAATGTACTGCGAAGGAAATTCAGAGGATCTGAGGCTAGCTAGAAGTTAGGTGGGAAGCCAAAGTGTGAAGACTGTGAATTCTCCCAAAGGCAGAGACACCATTGACTGTTTTGAAGTGAACGGAAAACTTACATGTATTAAACGCCTACCATGAGTCTGTTATGTTACTAAGGGAATGCAACATGTTTTCTCGTTTAGTTCTCACAGATGTTTCCAAGGCATTTCCCACCCCACCCCCTGTGTCCCACCCCCACCTTTACTGATAAGAAACAGTGCAGAGAGGTTAAACAAAATGCCAAGGACACATGTCTGATTTTAAACCTATGAACTATCTACAACACCATTACAATGTTTTAGTGTCCTTATTTTTCTTTAACATGTCTATGTTTTTATTTTCTATTTTAATTCATAGTTTTTCTAATAAATATTTTATTGTACTTATACCACAAAACAATGAAATACGTCTCTCAATATATTTGTCAAAAATTTCTTGTATTGGTAACACTTTTTCTATGTATACTTATACATACTTGTTCTGAAAAAATACTGTTGTATAATCTGCTTTTCCATTTATAGTCTTTTAAGAGAACTTTTAGATTTCCAGAAGAACTGAACAGAAGATACAGAGTTCCCATATATCCCTCGTACTCTTCCCCTTACCTTGTTGCCCTGCACCCCCGCACCCAGTTTTCCTTACTATTAACATATTGCATTAGTGTGGTACACTTGTTACCACTAATGAGCTAACATTAATACTTTATTATTAACTGAAGTCTACAGTTTACATGAAGTTTCACTCTTTGTCTTGGGTATTATATAGAATTTCACAAACGTGTCCAGTATTCACTAAACAGAATAATTTCATGGCCCTAAACAGCCCCGGTGTTCACCTGTTCATCCCTCCTTCCCCTCAGATCCTCTGCTGACACTGAACTTTTACTGTGCATAATTTTGCTTTTTCCAGATTGTCATACAGTTGGGATAATTTAGTATGTAGCCTTTTCAGGCTGTTCTTTCACTTAGCAATATGTATTTAAGGTTCTTCCAAGTCTTTTTGTGGCTTGATAGCTCATTTCTTTTTATCACTGAATAATATTCCATTATATGGATGTGCCACAGTTTGTTTATCTACTCATGTATTGGAGGTCATCTTAGTTGCTTTCAAACTTTACCGATTATAAATAAAGCTGCTGCAAAAATTCGTGTGCAAGTTTTTTGTGTGGACATAAGTTTTGCACTCATTTGGGTAAATGCCAAGGAGTGCAATTGCTGTGTATTATGGTAAGAATATCCATACTACATGCAAACATAATAAAATATGTTTATTTTCATAAGAAACTGCCAAACCATCTTTGAAAGTGGCTGTACCACTTTGTATTTCCCGGCAGTGGGAGTAAGTTCCTGTTGTTTCACATACTTCCAGTATTTGGAGTTGTCAGTGTTTCAGATTTTAGATATTCTAATAGCTGTGTAGTGGTATCACATTATTGCTTTAATTTGCAGTTCTTGAATGATATATGCAATTTCTAATTTTTAATTCCTTTACTTATCTATTATATATCTTTCTAACATCTGTGATTTTGACTCTTACATTTTCTACCATTTATTTATTTATTTATTTATTTATTTATTTAATCCTCACCTGAGGACATTTTTCCATTTTTTGTTCAGGTAGAGTGGGAGGGAGAGAGAGGAACAGAGAGAGAGAGAGAAACATCGACGTGAAAGGGACACATCGAGTGGCTGCCATCCACACGACCAACTGGGGCCGGGGACAAACTGCAACCAAGGTACGCGCCCTTAGCGGGAACCGAACCCGGGTCTCTCAGGACCGCAGGCCAATGCTCTATCTGCTGAACCAAACTGGCCAGGGCTATCATTCATTTATTTATCAACATATATTAAATGTCTACTTATGCCAGTAACACTTTTTTTTTTTTAATCCTCACCTGAGTATATTTTTTTCCATTGATTTTTAGATAGAGTGGAAGGAAGGGAGGGAGAGAAACATCAATGTGAGAGAGACACACCAAATGGTTGTCTCCCACATGACCCGGACCAGGGTCAGGGATCAAACCTACAGCCCAGGTATTTGCCTTTGACTGGGAATTGAACCCAAGACCCTTCGGTCCAAGGGCCGATGCTCTAATTGCTGAGCCAAACTGGCCAGGGAACCAGCAATATTTTTAGAAATTAGGTTATTTTTCTTTCTTTTACTCTTTTATTATTCTCTTCTCCATTTTTAGTTTGTCATATTCCTCTCATTATTTATTTCACATAAACTGTTAGTTGGTCCCTCTATTCTATTTATCTTCATGTAAACTATCATTTACTTCTCTGGCAATAATTGTTTATTTTCTTTAACTTTCCCTTTCTCCATTCAAAACATGTATCATTATACATTCACAATGCCTGCAGCACAGAATCTGAAATATTGGTAGAGACAAAACCACTGAAAACATGTCTGAAGTGAAGAAATCACTTACCTTGGTTGACGATAAATCTTAGTTTCTGTATTGTTGCCAGATTGCCACTAACTCGATATATTCCATCAACATCTAGACCTGAAAATAAAAAAAAGCACATTTTATATTTGCTGTTATAAAACCTGGGATGGCAAAAAAATATTAATAAATATGGAAAGAAAGAGAGCAATAAATCAAACATCTCTTCCTCACAGAGAAAACACATTTCCATGTCCAAGCAGTCCTCAGTATTTTTAAACCCAAAAGACTAATCGTGAAGTTCTGTGACAGTTAATGATCAACAAATCTGAGTCTAGTTGAAGCATAGAAGAGCAGTAGGTAGCATGGGATTTCGAAGTATAGTAAGATTCATTTCCAAGGAAAACATAGGCATAGGCATAAAATTGGGGATGGGAGGGTGTCAGGGAAGGAGAACCTTCATGTATTATTGCCCCTTATTGGAAAGATAGAATAATCCAAGGTGTTTGTGAAGTATTCTTCCCTCCTTCCCTCCCTCTTACACTTCCTCCCTCCCTCCCTTCCTTCCTTTCTTCCTTCCTTCTTATCTCTCTCCTTTCCTTGTCTCTTACTTTCTCTTTTAACCCTCTCTTCCCTCCCTCCAGTTTCTATCCTGTCCTGTTCTAGTCTATTCTCATTTTCCAGTGTCACTAATAGCATAACATGTATTGGTCTGATTGTTTCAAACTGAAGGATACGTTTTTTATCCCAGATATATAATCAGTTTGATAAACTCTAGGATATTAGAGTTTATAGTATATTACATGTTCTGAGGTACTCCATTATTTGAGGAAAAACATAAAAATAAATCCTTGACAAAATGGTGAAATTAGTTTCAGATTATTTCAAAACTGGTTTTCTATAATTCAAAATAACTTATGCTAGCAATGGCTTTGGATGATCAACTACTTGCTTTCCACAATCTATGGTATCATGTAGTTATTTCCAATACTAAGTTATCACAAAGATGCAGAAGCAGGAAAACGAAAAGAGAAACACTTTCAAACACTATCACTGTCCCTAAACAGGTTGATAATATAATTTTAATGTTAAGAGCATATGTATTCCCTGATGTGTCTCTGCCCTTAGAGACGCCTGGGTGAATTACCAGCCAATGTAGAAGTCCCTATCTCAGCAAGTTCTGCACGGTGGTGCAGCACCATGTTTGAACATTGTAATTCACAATCGTAAGTATTAAATAAATTGCTAGAAATTATTGTTATAGTGTAACAGAATAAAGGCTTTATAAAGCTCTTTACTGACATAAAATGAGTTTCTTAATTGCTGCAACATCTCTGTTTTTACATAATTTATTGTCGTAAATATCTGTCATTGTGCAAAATATTTCATCAGTGGATTAGGGTAGAATCACCCGGCATGTAACACTGGTATTACTGACATAATTTAAAACAATAATTCATTATTTTAATTTTACTTATTGTTATTACTTTGTAATCACTCATTTTTATAAGACTTCATCTTTTTTTAGGGAAGTTTTCGGTTTATAGCAAAATTGATAGGGAGGTACAGAGATCTCCCACACAAGCATAGCCTCTCCCATGATCAACATTCCCCCACCAGAGTAGCACATTTAGTACAACTGGTGAACCATACTGATACACCATAATCATTCAAAGTCCACTTTCACATTATGATTCAATCTTGCTATACATTCTATAGTTTTGAACAAATGCATAATGACATATATCTACCATTATAGCATCATGGAAAGTATATTCACTGCCTTGGAAGTTCTTGTGTCCTACCTATTCATCCTCACGTGGGTTTTTACTCTTCCATGTAATAAACTATAGAATAACTTGGGATAATGTCATTAAAAGTGGAACAGTTATTAGCAAATTTATTAAGTGGTGTGTTTTATAATTCTAGAACAGTGGTTCTCAACCTTCCTAATGCTGCGACCCTTTAATACAGTTCCTGATGTTGTGGTGACCCCCAACCATAACATTATTTTTGTTGCTACTTCATAACTGTAATTTTGCTACTGTTATGAATTGCCCTTGGAAATATGTGTTTTCTGATGGTCTTAGCTGACCCCTGTGAAAGGGTCGTTTGACCTCCAAAGGGGTTGCAACCCACTGGTTGAGAACCGCTGTTCTAGACTAATCTAATAATCAATGACCAAGTCTCTGTCCTTTCCTGAGAACTATGACTATGTGAGGAATTGGAATAAGGTTGGACACCTATTAGTGTGGAGTGAAAGTGTCTAAGACGTATACATTAATAAAATCAAATACATTCTATTTCCTGATGCACAAAACAGCTCCATTAATCAAAGGTACTCCAGTTAGTATGTTCACTGTACATTTGGCAACTTAAAGGTGACAAGTATCCTAATTAAAATTTTTCTAATATTTGATTCCTAGTTTTGGTATAGAACAATGTTGGTCTTCAATTTATGCACATATACCCAGAACTTTATAATTTATTAAGCTTTCTTTCTTGCTTTGTCATTAGATTCTATTTGGTACTTAATTTTAAATAGGTAATAGATTTTAAAAATATTAAATCTTAGCAATCAAGTAAGTGTGTCCCTTTCAAAGATTTCCCTGTTGGGAGTAGGCTTAATTTTTCTGAACATGTGGCCATGAAAGAAAATACTTTGGAATTCCCTAAAATCACCTTTTGATGCTCCGTATTATCTATAGAAAATGTTCATGATGGCAGGTTTGGGGACTTCGGTAATAGTTTTGGATTTGGAAGTAGTCTAAGACCATTCAGAACTGCACATGGTGAATATTGTCATCTTGCTCATCGACACAAAGTTTGACCAAATGAAAGTATCCCTGATGGTTTCCTTTAAGTATCAGTTACTCTGAAGGAATTTGGGAAACAGAAAATTTTGGAAAATAAAAACATGAATGGGATCCATAAGTCTATATGCTCCAAATGAGAAAATTTAATACGTTTTTTTTAAAAAGAATTAGTAAAATTAGCCCTGTGTAAAATAATAATTAGAGATGAAATGTCAGCATCTATTACAATAAAAATTAGAAAATTTACTATATATACTTTTATAATTAATTTTTGTTTTCCTAGTTAGTTGAATCCTTATCAGAGATTAATAGTAAATGAAATTACTTGAATTCCAACACATTATAATTATAAATAAAAACTCTTCTTAAACCTCATTTTAATATGCATCTCTCTTCATATGAGATATAATGTTGAATGTTTTTCTATTTGGAAGCTAGGACTCTTCCTTTTCTAATATTATTTTATATGTTATTGAAATGCACATATTGTCTAGAGTTAAACACTGAATTTCAATTAATGAAATTCTTCAGTATCCCAAATCTTTCTTTTTCTCTTCTATAAATGTAAAGTTATAACATAAGAAGTGCCCTTCTTGGTCTTTCATAAATTTTAGTGGAATTTTTTTTTTTTTAAGTTCGGTAATCAAAAACAGTTGAAAAAGCAGTATGGGTTAGATATATTATGTATGAGCAATTGAAAAGCACTATACTGTTTAAACAAAGCAGCCTCATCCTAAATTAATAACCCAATTTTCTTTTGGGATAAAAGGAGGGAGAGCTGGGAATGACGACAGGGAGGGTAACTCACACCAGTGCCACCACTGTGGTTGTAGAACCAAGTCACAGCAGAGAAATTGCTTTGTGGCTTTACATAAAAACCAGAAAGTAAAAGGGAGTAAAGCAAAACATATTGGATGCAATTTGACTCTAACTTGACACAACTTCAAGCCCTTTAGATTCAGAGATATCAATACTATTTATCTCATGAGGGATAACAGTCTCTGACATTAGTGGCTCCCGCTTTAAATGGCTCATGCTCCCCTGCTATCATACTTTTTAAATTACAGAAATAGAGTGAAAATGACAAAGTACATATTAAAAAGGAGCGTATTACATTTTGCAAAATAATCTGGAACATATCAGTGAATTTTAGCAGTTATAAATTATATAGGGACCGTCTTGAAGTTGATTAGCTTTCCCCTGAGTGGCTCACAGAATGGCAAACCCAAAGTCCTGGAAATATTACCCAAATTACAATGACTCACGTGCCATCCTCTTTTTGCTCCACGAACTTTAAAAGTTATGCCAAACCAAACCAATGTAAATTGATGGATTTGGACATCCTTTTCATGACCACATTCTCCTTGTTGGATTGGAAACTACTTATTTTGGAAATATAATTAGGCCTCTTATGATTTTTAAATGAGCAACGTCTTCAAGGTATCCCTGTTGTACTTTGGTGATGTTTGGAGAAAAATTACTTTGAGAGGTCCTTCTTTCAAGAAAATACTATGACTGTAAATGCTGACAGGAATTTTGCCTGTTATGCTAAAAATATTTTGGGAACACGATGAAACTAAGTCATTTTATATTCTTTAAAAAATCAGACCAGCATCAACGGCAGCAATGAAATGTCTCTGAAGAAATCCACATTCACAAACTGCGGATTTTGTTCATCATCAGGTGACCTTCTTAAGTTTCAAAATAGTGTTTCCCATTGACAGGTATCCTCAGGTATCACTAGGGGATTTTCAAAAGTGTTTCCACCCTTTTTTCCTGAAGAAGTGTAGACTAGAATAGACACACAATTAGGAGTTATTAGACCAAATCGTGGTCTAAACCCAATGGAAAGAATGTAGCTGTCATGAGTAATTCCCACCATCAATTTAAGACACTTTCCAAAAAGAAATCTAAGAGCCCGGCACTGTTTCCAGAGTTGACTGGCTTATCTGCCAAAATATGGGCAGTTGCTAACAATGCAGATGAGCCTGTTAAAAATAGGTGCAAACTGTGGATTAGGTAACATTCTTGGTAGCACAAATGAAGGATAAATCAGGAAGATGTGGAGTTTGAGCCTGGTTTCGGGGTGTGCCCCCACAGCCTGCTTGTTTTTCTAGAACACACACAAAAAAATGCATCTGAACCTCTGGAGTCTGAAATGTGGGCTGGGAAATGTGTACAAACAGTCCCTCTCTTGAGATTTATGGCACTTCCTAATTCCCAGGAGGCCAGAGCTACCGCAGGAACAGTCATTCTCGCAGTGCTTTGGTCTGCTTTCCCCTCTGGCGAGAGCTAGTGAGCACA